GATGCCGATGCTGATGCCGATGCTGATGCTGATGCTGCTGATGATGCTGCTGATGGTGATGATGATGATGATGATGCTGGTGATGATAATGGTGGTGGTGGTGATGATGATGACGATGGTGATGATGATGATGATGACGATTATGATGATGATGATGATGATGATGATGATGATGATGATGATGAGGATGAGGATGATGATGATGATGATGGTGGTGGTGATGATGATGCTGATGAGGATGATGCTGATGATGATTGATGATGATGATGATGATGATGATGATGATGATGATGATGATGATGATGATGATGATGATGATGATGATGATGATGATGATGATGATGAGATGATGATGATGAGATGATGACGATGATTATGATGCTGATGCTGATGATGATGATGATGCTGATGATGATGATGATGATGCTGCTGCTGCTGCTGCTGATGATGATGATGATGATGATGATGATGATGATGATGATGATGATGATGATGATGATGTGAGGAGAGGAGGAGGAGGAGGAGGAGGGAGGAGGAGGAGGAGGAGGAGGAGGAGGAGGAGGAGGAGGAGGAGGAGGAGGAGGAGGAGAGGAGGAGGAGGAGGGAGGAGGAGGAGGAGGAGGAGGAGGAGGAGGAGGAGGAGGAGGAGGAGGAGGAGGAGGAGGAGGAGGAGGAGCGCGCGGTGGAGGGCGCGATCCCTCCGTCGCCCGCGCCCGCGGGCGCCCGACCGCGGGGGGCCCCCAGGCTGGGAAGCCCCCCGACCGTGATGAGGCCGACCTCGAGCTCGTGGCCGAACACGATGGTCAGGTCGGCTACGCAGTGCCGCCCCAGCAGGCCCCCGTCTCAATCCGAGGGGCGCTCTCGGGGGGCGGACCTGCTGGGGCAGCGGCGCCAGCCAGGTGCTCGGCCCCGCTCGTGCCCGTCTCGTTCCCAGGGGCGCTCTGGGGGGGCAAGTGAGCGGGGCCAGCGCGCGCACCAGCCACGGCGCCCGCTCCCCAGCGGGCCCCAGCCACGCACCAAGAGGCGCTCTCGGGGGGCGGACCCGCTGGGGCTGCCCAGCTCCCCAGGCGTTCGGCCCCGCTGGCGCCTGGCTGACTCCCAGGAGCGCTCAGGGGAAGCCAGCCAGCGGGGCCTGCGAGCTCGCCAGCTGCGGCCGTGCCGACGCCGATATCGCCAGGCTCTCCTGGTCCACCAGCACCTGGCTCGCACAGCTCCGGCTCCAGTCGAGTGATCCTCACTGGCACTCTCGCGGACACTGCAGGAGCCATACCTTTCGCCAGCCTTGCCAGCGCGAGCTTGCCCGTCGGGCCAGCGTGCCCACACTCCTTGTTGAAAATCGAAGGCCTGCACGTTGCCACCGTGCCACAAGCCGTACACATGATGAATGGCGTATCCTTCGTGAGGTCCGCCTCTTTCTCCGTCCATAGCTTCACCAGCACATGCTTCTTCAGGAGCTGGTTGTTGATCTCGAGGACGGGGTTGGTGATGTCCCCTGGGCACTCAGACTGCCTGCGAGACCACCTGCACCTCGTACACCATTGGTGCCCAGGAGGCCCCCGAAGATCACACTCCAATCGCGCAGCAACCATTCTCTTCTCAGCCTTGGGCGCTGGGCGGTTCGGCTTGGCCTTCCTGTGCGTGGTGTCCTCGCCGCCCATGCTGGAGCCAACTGCGGCCACCCACATCGCGACGCCCTCGACACACTCGTGCACCTGCTTGAGTACTTTCCTGTCCTCGACCTTGATGCGAGCCGACGCCGCCGCGCTCTTGGCCGCCCTGTCCGCGTACTTGTTGCCGAGCCAGTCGCGGTAGTCGAGGCCACTGCTGCGCATGTACTTCCTGGGCACGTGGGCAGCTATCTTGACGACTGTGAGTCCCTGCTCGCCGAGACCTCCAAACTCATCCAGCAAGCGCCAGACCTGCTGCCACAGGTCTGCCCAGGCGAACCCAAAGCTCGTGGTCCGCCGCTGCCCATACTCCAAGAGTCCTTTGACCACGAAGGAGCTGTCTGTGACGGCCTTCGCGGGCGGCATCGCGTACTTGAGTAGATGCAGCAGGGCCGTCAGCTCACCTCCGTTGATGTCGACGAACGGCGCGTCCAGGACCCCCGAGATCCCGACCTCGAACTCGTGGGAGTTCTCCTTCAGCGCGATGACAGCCCAGCCGACCGAGGTGCACCTCTCGTACCCCCCTTCGTAGGCGGAGCCGTCTAAGTACAGCGTGCCCGCAGGAAGCCAACCCTGAACATTATCACCAAGCCAGCAAACTTGATCATCGAGAGCAGGCTTCACGATGTGCTGCGGGTACGGCGCCAAGCACCGCTCGAGAAGTACACGGGTGGGACCATCCGCCGCCTGTGCATGCAGCTCTGCGATCAGTGTCGGTAACTTCAGCTCAGGAGGCCAGCCCACGCATTCACAGTGCCGATGGAGTAGTGACCCGAACTGGCCGCACTTGAGGCACAACGGGCCCGCCGCGTACCCGCATTAGTACTTCCTGCTCTGAGACCACTGCCCTCCCTGAATCAGGGACTTCAGGTAGCCGCGCTCGCGCGGCGTGAGGCGAATGGCCTTCGTAACCTGAACACCAGGCACTCCACCAGCTCGGCTGTCGCTGGCCTCGATCGCACGTACAGCTTGATCTCCTGCTGGTGGCTCTTCTTCAGACAGCTCAGGTGTTCCACCATCCAACGCAGAGTCAAGACACACCTCACCGAAAACACTGCTGAACAGCTCAGACCATCCAGAATCACGCCTGGCGTCAACGAGAGCTGCCGCAGTGAGTGCGGTACCCATATGATAGCCTGGTGGCAGCCCAGCTATCGGAGGGGCCATAACTCCATCGGCGAGACGCACAGGCTGCTGACCTTCTCGCTCGGGACGCCCTTCACCAACCAGCGTGACAACCTGCTCCGCCTCGTTCTTGCCAATGCTAGGGGTGTCCCTCACGTGGTACGACTTCGCCTTGGCCGCGGAAGTCGTCGGCGCGCCGTGCTTGCCGAACAAGCCCTGCAGCTTCGCCGTCCCTTTGTTGGTGAGGCGTACCAGAGGTTCAAGAACACCACCTCCAGTCAAGTGCTCAAATTCGGCCTGCTTGCCAACCTCTCTCCACTGCCATGCCTCGATAGCTCGCGCCAGAAGCCGTCTGACTGTCCAGGAAGCCACCTCGAAGACCTTGACCTTGTCGCCCTCGTGGGTCTGCCAGACATCAGCCTCGATCACCTTCCAGCCCGCCCGCGCCAAGGTCATCTTGACTGCCGAGAAGGGCCCCTTGACTTGGCTCCAGTGCTCCGCCTGGCTGCGGTTGAGGCAGTACTCCACAACGTGCCGAGGAATCCACCGCTCCCAGGTCGCCCTTAGTAGAGTAAGCACTGGTCCTTCTTTAGCTCTTATCATTGGATCCAATCTTTTCGTCAGCATCAAAGTGAGGGTCCTGGGGCGGCCTGCTGTCGAAGGTGCCGCCGCCGTGAAGACCAGGCTCCTGATCTTGCTGAGCTCTTCGGTCGCGCAGCCCGTCGCGTTCAGCCCGTAACTGACCGACGCCTCCAAGCCACTGCGTGCAACCTTACGTGCAGCCAATCTGCGCCCCTTCCCACACTTAAGCAGCCAAACCCGTCTGAGCCGAAGACCAGCAGCAACCAGCTTCTCTCTACGCACAGCTCTAGGTAATCGCCGTCCACACGCAAAGTCAATGCCCAGGTTCCTCTCTTTGGCAACTGACTTAACTCCGAGAGACCTGCTCAGCCTAGCCGCCACCTCATGACGTGCCGTAGGCAGATTGCTGAGCATCCTGGACTTCGAGACCGCTATCTTCACGTCCACTGCCTCCAGGAGCGTCTGGAGTCTGAAAGCCGCATCTGCCACTTCTCTAGTGATTCTGGTCATACCGCCCACGCGATGCACCATGATGTCGTCGACCACGACCGCAAGCTGGAGCGTTGGGTGGTAGGACGCCAGCAGGTCTAATGGCTTGATGAGCAGCAGCTTGAGCATCGTGGTGGCGACGCCATCTCCAGGGGGCACGGACTGCTCCGAGAGAATCGTGCCTGACAGCGCCCTGCCCAAGCGGAGCATCCTCGGTGCGCGATATAACTCCAAGGATTATTTAAGCTGCCACAATGGGTACCCGGTGTCAATCGCAGCCTCACGTAGCCAGTGATGTCTGATCTGCTCGTACGCCTTCAGAAGGTCGAGGAGGATGGCCATCGCACGCCACCCCGAGGAGTCGCCGCACTCCTCGCCCTTCGCTGTGGCCCACTCTGCGAGCGCCGTTTGATGCCGCACGGCTCGATCACACGCCCTGCCTTTGGCCGCCCACCAATGCGGCCTGTCGTTCAGAGCTTCCCACCGTCGAGCCACACCCCTGCGTAATCTAGCCTGGATCCTCGCGATCGCCATGATGACCGCGATCGGGCGTGCCCCGCCTAGTCTCTTCTGGATGAAGCATATCTTTGTCGTCAAGCTGGGCCAAGTAGCCTCCTTCTCGATAGCCGAAATAATCTCCGCCAAGAGTTCAAGGCCAGCATGGTCCAACCCCAGGAACTGCCGAGGGCTGATCGCGTCGAAGGGCGTGCCCGTCAGCACGGGAAAGGTCCTGAGCGTCACCTGCAGCTCCTCGACGGACGGCCTGGGCGGTCGCTCCCCGAGGTCTTGAGGCCAACGAACGGGGACTTGATGAAGATTGCACCGCCACCAGCGCCGCCACTCCTTCTCCAGCTCGCTGATCTCGCCCGCCAGGTCGGTGGGCACGTACAGCTCCTGCTGCATCGCGGGGCTGGGGTCAAACCCGTTGGGCACCTTCGTGATGGCATGGAGGCCACCACCTCCGCCAAGCGACTGCTCCTCGATCCAGGCCTCGAACTTGGTGCCGCGCTCGGCCATGTCGTGATCCGCCAGGTCGGAGGCCGCCTGCTTGGCGCCAACACTCAGCATCCTGAGCACGTCCGTGCACACATGACTGATGCGCAAGCTGCTGAGCGCATGCCACCATAGGCTCGCCACTGGAGCGGCTTCTGGGCTCTGGTCAGCCAGCCCAGCTCCCATGTGCCTCTCCTGGACGAGCTTGGGCGCCTTCGCCACCAGCCTGCTGATACCTCGAAGAGCCTGAAGCCGTGCGAGGGGCTGCTCCACCTCTGCTGCTGCCTGTAACTCATTCGCCACGCGGAAGAGCCAGGTCGCCTCGGCCGAGACTCTCGGCCATCTCGCACAGGACACTGGCAGGTCGCGTACTCGTCGTACTTGGGGCTCACGCCCTCTGCCGCAATACTTCGATGTGGTGCCCGGGATCTGGTAGACATCTATCCACTCACGCTCGGCTTGCTCAAGGAAGGCTTGCCGCGCCTTCGTCAGGTTCCCATGCTGAGCCAGAAGCTCCTGCACGACCGTGGCCGTCTGTGCCCAGCCAGGTCCATGATCATCTCGTAGGCATCCTTGGGGTCGCTGTCGTGGGAGCGCCTTGGGCATCATAGCCACCTTGATGAACTCCCTCCTCTTCGCCGCCTTGAGCGAGAGCAGCACAGGCCGATGCGGCCAGACAGCGGGACCTTCGAGCACCTCGATGCCACTTACCTCGAGGTCTGCCGGGATGATGAAGTAGTCAATGGAACTGTTGGACTGAGCGCACGTCGGCGCGACAGTACTGACCACCTTGCCATTGAAGAAACGCAGGACCCCGCTCGCCTCGAGCTCATCCCTAGTACAGTTGAAATCGCCACCAATCAGGAAAGGTCTGCCATACTCACGAATTCGGCGAGCCACATCCTTGAGGATCGCAAAGTTGTGCGGGTTGATGCCGACCCCGCTCTCGAGATAGATGTTGACTACGACCGCGCCCTCGGGCAGCAACCCAGCTTGGTGTAGCGCCAGCGCTCGCCCCACGCGGAGCACTGGGGGGGCCGACCCAAGCATTGGAGCCAGCCCATGAGAAAGACGCGAAAAGGTCAAGAGCCCGCCCGCGGCGAGCCCGCCTGCCTCGGAAGGAATTGCTGGGGCTCCCGCTGCGCCCCGTCGACGAAGCTCCCCTTCAGCATCCGCCGTCCGTGCAGCCGAAAGCCGTGTCTCCTGGAACATGATGAGGTCACTGTCAGGCACCGACCCGCTCATGCACTTGTCCAGGTTGCTGTACGCATTCATGTTGATGATGCAGACCTTGAAGATCTCGTCGCTGCCCAGCTCGTTACCCCACCTGAGGCTGCTTGCCCAGCCTGGTGGCGAACAGCTCAAGCAGCTCGCGCTTCTTGGAGTCAGCGTCGCCGTCGCAGAACTCTGCAAGAGTAGCGTCCAGCGAAGCATTCGTGAAGCGCATGATGTCATCCTTCTCGACCGTGATGCCCCCGTAGGGATCGTACTTGCTGATGCCCTTGCCGCCGCGCTTGCCCTTGGGTCCAGCTGCCGCAGGCGCTGGTGGGGGCAAGTCTGCTGCGACAGGCGGCTTGACCACCTTGGGCGGGTTGACCCTGTCGGCGGCGAGAGACTGCAGCAACGTCCTGAGCGGTCCAGCTGCAGGCCCAAGGTCAACGCCATCGAGCTGATCAACAACCTGCTCAGCCAACTCCCCGTGCTTAGCCGCCAGCGCCGCCGCCGCCGCGTCGACCTCCTCGAACGAGTCCGTCTCCATGTCTGTGTCCTGCTTCGCCTTCTGGGCCTCCTCGCGCTCCTTGGCCTCCTTGGCCTGGGCCACGGCCTGCTGCAGCTCGTCGTCCAGCTGCTGGATGTACTTGTTCTGCTGCAGCACGGCCGCCACCGCCTCTGCCGCCGCGAGCTCTCTGCGCTTCCCCTCTTCGCGGGCGCGCTGGAGCCTCTTGCCCGCCTCGTCGGCCTGCACCTGCGCGCTCTTGACCGCCTTGATGGGCGAGAGAGTCCCCAGCTGCTGCTGCAGGAGGAACCTGGCCTGCCGCAGCGAGTGCTGGTCCGCAGGCGACAGCATGGCAGGCGCGAAGATGGCGAAGTCCTCCTCGCTGATCTCCAGCACAGCGTACTTGGGTGGCGCTCCTCCTGGTCCACCTCCTGCTCCAGACTGGCTCTTGCCGTAGCCCTTGGGTCCCTTGGACTGGTGCCAAGGCGCCTGGGACCAGTCCCAGCTGGCGGCTGGAGCACCGTACTGCCAGCTGCCACGAGGAACAGGATGAGCACCCATACCAGGAACGTGACCAGTCGGCCGATACGCAACGCAGCCAGGCTGCCTGCATTGCGCCCTCCAGCCAAGGTTCTTGTAGCCGCACCCGGAGCACACCCAGGCCTTGATCTTCGTGTTGCCAGCGCCTGCACCGCCGCCGCCGTGCCCGCTGCCAGCAGGAGCCATGGCGCGCCGCGCTGCGCAGCCCGACTCGTGTCAGAAAGAACTTCCAAACTTGCTGGCCTCAAAGCGCGAACCCCCTCGCGCTCAGAAGCCGCCCCGAAGGACTCGCGGTCGTCGGGATGGTTCATAGCCTTGAGCCAAAATGGCTACGGATGATGGTGATTATGAGGAGGAGGAGGAGGAGGAGGAGGACGAGGGGGAGGAAGATGAGGCGGGGAACGGGGAGGAGGCGGAGCAGGCGGAGCAGGCGGAGGAGGAGGAGGAGGAGGATGAGGAGGAGGAAGAGGATGATAATTAGGGGATTTAAGATGGGAGGGGCGTCTGAGTTGTTCGGGCGAATTCTGACATGCTTCAAGAGATTTCTAGGACTTCTCTTGAGGGGGGGCATCACGCATCAGGTCGCCGCGCTACGTCAAGGTCGCCGGGCTCCCTGACATCAGCTACCCCTCGGTCTTCGACGCTGGGCTTCCCGACATCAGCTACCCGTCGATCTTTGACACGAAGAACACGTTCCCGCACCCCAGTTGCCACATGGTCATACCAATCCTTTGTCTCCTCCGCCTCCCCCTCTCCATTTTCCCATCCCCTGTCCCCTCCCCCTTCAGTCCTCAGTCGGGAGCGGAAAAGAGGGGGGTGATGACTAGGGGGGGAGGATTTCATGGCGCGGGCCATGATTTTTCCTCAGATTTCATGGCGCCTCTTTTTATTTCATTACGTCCCAGGCCCCCCCGCTGGGCCGCGCACGTGCCGCCGGTCATGATTTGCACCCCCCCCTCTTGGACACTCCCCTCTTGGCCGCTCCCGACTCAGCCCCGAGCCCTTCTTTCTCCCTGCCTCCTCGAGGGGGCGGAGTGCCGCAGGTTCATCGAGCTGGCGTCCCCCGAGCCGGTCTCGGGCGCCGCGGGCAAGGACCGCGCCCCGCCGTGCCGCTCCTCCCCCGTCGCCCGAGGGTGCGGAGGACGCTCGAGGATCGAGGATCGAATGACGAACCAACAACACGCACCCATACCCATAGAGGGGTCGGAGAGGGCTATGGGTGCGTGTTGTCGGATGGGGGTCCCCGCTCGAACGGGAGCGTTCCCCAGGGTCCGACAACCCGCACCCACACCCATGGCCAGTCCTCCTCTCAACGACCCCCCTATGGGTATGGGTGTGCGTTGCTCGCTCGCCATCGAACGGGTTCGAGGCTCAAGGATTCTTGGCCTTGTGGCTGGGCTTCCGGCGGCTTTTGGGCGGTTGGAGGAGGGGAGCTCCAGCAGCGGCCCCGCCGAAGGCCGGCGCACGCGGGCCCGGGGCCAATTCCTCAGGAGGGAGAAAAACACAGACACAATTATTTGTCGATTTCCAGGAAAATATAGGAAAATATGGGAAGTGGTGGGGAAGACAAAAACCCAGAAAATATTCGAAAATATGGGGGATCTTTTTATTTGTGTGTATTTATTTGTGTGTCCCAGGGCCCCTTTAAATTCGGCACACTCCTCGCGCGGACCCTGCCCGCAGCCCCCGGGGGGGGGGGGCAAGGTGCGCGTGCGGGCCCACGCCCCATTCGGCACACTCCCCGCGCGGGCCGTGCCCCGGTGCAGTGCCGTTTTTTCAGTGCATGCTCCGCGTGCGGCTCGCGTATTCAAAATGCAGGGATTGGGTATTAGAAGCAACGATGAGCTCATGCATGAACTTACTCCTAAATTAATGATGTATTAAACATCCTATATTTTTTAAATCCTATGTATTAGAAGCTGCCCTGTAGGAAGCTCCACCTGTAGCCCCAGTGGGGGCGGTGTGCGTGCGGGCCCTCGCCCAACCCGTGGGGCTTCCAGAACTCTCCGGGGGTCTCTGGGGCTGCCCCTTGGGTGACTCCACAGGCGCCTGGCAGGAGGATCCGTCTGGCGCCCGCGGAGGGTTCCACGCCCAGGAAAGAGCGTGTGCTCTCGTGCGTGCTCTACCGCCGTGTTCCCCTTCTTCTTCTTGTGCTTCTCGTGCTTGTCCTCTTTCTCCTCCTCCTCCTCATCCTCCTCCTCCTCCTCCTCCTTGGTTCCTTGGTTCCGGAGATCGGAGTTGGGATCTGGAGATCGGTAGTGGGATTCTGCCAGGCCGATTCAAGAATGGCGTCTTTGAAAGTACGCGTCCCTGGAGGCAAGGCTGTTGTATTCTCGGCATATGCGCCTCATAGTGGCAAGCATTTTGATCAAAGACATACTTTCTTTCATGACCTGGCGGAATTCGTCGAGTCCAAATCGGCACACGAACCCAAATTGCTATTAGGTGATTTTAATGCGAAGCTTCACCACCGCATGGATGGTGAACACGCTGTGGTGGGCGAGCACGTCCTGCTGAGCCCGGGCACGGGGTGCAAGGACGATGCCAATAGACACTTGCTTGTGGAGACGCTCACGCATCTCAACATGTGCCTGGCCAACACTTTTTTCGAGACCTCCATCGACGGCCTGGCAACCTGCTACAACGTTGGCACGAAAGCAGGCGCCCTGGTCAGCGGTCAGACTCACTCGCAGATCGTTTCTTCTGTTGTGGGCAGGGCTGGCTGCATAACGTCAGAAGTGTAACTTGTTGCCCAGAGGCGCCACTATCATCGCATCACTTCCTGCTGCAATCCTCCGTGCGCATGGAGGTCGGCAAGCGCTGCGTGGAAGAACTGGCACGTCGCCGTGACCACGGCGCCTTGGCCGACAAGAATACCAGGCAGATCTTTGCAAGATGTCTGGGCGACGCTTGGGACAGCTACGAAGTGGCCTCCACGAACGACTCTGACGTGAACCTGGCATGGTGCCGAATGGTTGACGGCTTCGTACATGCGGAGACGACTGTCTTGCCGCAGGAGCCGATTCGCCCCCGCAAACCATGGATCAGCAGCAGCACGTTGGAACTCGTGCGGTTGCGGTATCGGGCCAGGCGGGGCGCGGATGCCCCGCGAGAGCGTGACATAGCGAAACGAATCCGAGCTTCCGTGGCTAGAGACAAGGCGAATTGGCTAGAGGATGTAACCAGAGATGGAGATTGGGCACAGATCCGCAGACTGCGCAAGGGCCGCCAGCATGCCCAGGGAAGACTTCGCACGAACGTGGGCGAGCTGGTGGACAGCGACCGCAGGGCATATACACTTGCGCAGCACTTAGAGACAGTGCAGTGGGCCGTGCGGCCTACGACAGAACTGCCGGAAGGCCCTGCGAATCAAGCTGGTTTGCCGTTCAACCTGGACATCGTCTTTGACGAGGAGGTTCAGCGAACCGCCCGCAGACTGAAAAACAAACGATCGGCCGGCTTGGACGGCTTGCCACCCGAATTTTGGACAGCGTCTGCTGAGGATGGACAGCCAGCCCTTGCATGGGTCACACGTTTCTGTAACGCGGTCTGGTCGCAGGCAGCGGTGCCAGACGCATGGCACAAATCGCGGGTTCGCATGATCTACAAAAAGGGCGACCCTGCAGTTTGCAACAATTACCGGCCGATCAGCTTGCTGCCGATAGGGTACAAGGGCTTCGCGATGATCATGTTACAGAGGCTGAAGGACGCGGGTGCAGAGGACAAGATTTGGCCCACCCAAATCGGCTTCCAGTCCAAGCGCGGTACCTCGGACGCGATCTTCGTGGCCAGGAGGGTGCTCGAGGACGCGTGGGCCACGAAGGAGGGGGCCGTCCACCTACTGGCGCTTGATTGGGCGAAGGCTTTCGAACCCGTGTCACCCGCAGCAATGGCGACATCGCTTCGGCGGTCCGGGTGCCCTGCCAAGCTCGTAGACATGGTGAAGGCGATCTACGAGGACAGAAAATTCGTCGTATCTGACCTCGGCTCATCATCTGGAGAGCGGCGGCAAAGGTTCGGTATCTGCCAGGGGTGCCCGCTGTTGCCATTCCTGTTCACCATCGTCATGACGACGCTGCTGGAGGATGCGCACGCTCGGCTACGCAGGCGACTGCCGGACATTCCCGACGCGCACTTTGTGCGAGACCTGGTGTACGCCGATGACACGCTCTTGATGGATGCGAACCCTGTCGTCGTGCAGGAGCTCATGTCCAGCGTGGAGGAGTGCGGGAAGCAGTGCGGCCTGAGCTTGAACTGGAACAAGGTGGAAATGATGAGAGTCCGCTCAGACGCTGACGTAGTGAACAGCGTTGGAGACACGGTGAAAGAAAGGGAGGCCTTGCTGTATCTCGGGGCCCACATCTCGTCAGACGGCCGTACTGGCTTTGAGTTGAATCGGAGATTAGGCGCGGCAAAGCAGGATTTCAATGTGTTGCGTGCAATCTGGTCTCACGCAACATTGTCTCGGGAACGAAAAGTACAGATTTTTAACGCATGCATCGTTTCAGAAGTATGCTACTGCCTTTTCGCCGCTTGCCTGAATAAATCAGAGCGGAAGAGGCTCGGCCGACTTCAAACCAGGTGTTTTAGACGGATTTACAGAGTGCAACCTTCGTATACAAGTCGTGTGTCCCACAACGCTGTGCTAAGCATGGCCGGCGAAAGGCCGCTGAGCGAAGCCATTGCAGCTCGCGAGGCGACCCTGCAACGATCCTGTGCGATGCTCCGTCCTACAGCCCGGCGGCATTGAACCGCGATTGCCGACAGGGCCTCGCAAACGAGGGCGCCCCCGACAGATGTGGGGCAACATGGTTTTGAAGAACTGTTTGAGAATGGCCGGCACCCGCGGCCGCTTAGCTGATGTCTTCCGGCCGGAGGCCGGTGCAGCAGCGGCGTGGGAGTCGGCGGTGAAAGCATGGCGCGACTGACCAGTCGCTTGTCCATCTTGCGTGCGTCCTGCTTGTGCCCCGTCTGGCGCCGCGCCTATTTGACGTTTCATTTTGCTCGCGCACCGGCCGGTGCAAGGCTTACTTGACTTGACTTGACTTGACTTCCTCCTCCTCCTCCTCCTCTAGGGGCGCCACGGCGCCTGGCAGGAGGATCCGTCTGGCGCCTGCGGAGGGTTTCGCGCCCAGGAAAAAGCGTGTGCTCTCGTGCGTGCTCTTTCGCCGTGTTCCCCTTCTTCT